TTACTAAAGGGGACTTATTTCTCATTTGATAGCATGTAGTTACTGAAGTTGGAAAGAGGAACTATCTTTTTGTTCACTGACAAGTTACAGGCATTGCTTCCCTTTTTTCAACATTTTTCTTTAATGTGCAAGATGAAACACAGACAAAATCTTATCATCCAGGGCATTTTTTTGTGTTCTGACAAGCTGACTCCCTGCAAGACAGTGTAAGGTTAGCAGCCAAAGGCTTCCAAAAAGAAACCTCACTCTTGTTTTGCAGAATACAGTGAACATGAAGAATTGTTTGATGAAACCTCTATCAGCTTRCGCAGTTATTTTCCTGAGAGCTGGTGGTGGAGTTTTGAAGAAGTGGGAAGCCCTGGAAAGCACAGGTACTGTGTTGCCTGATTAGGTGAATATGTTTAAATTTGTGCGGTCCAATGTAAAGAAATATCAGCTTTACGTAGTATCTGATGCAGAGGACTTTAGCATATTTGCAAACATTTGTCTCCAAAACTGAGACAATATAGTTTTTCTTTAAAATGCTCGAATTTTGTCCAATGACAATGTTTACATTTTATACATGCCTTTTAAAACATTTTATTTTGTATTTTTAGTGTAAAAAACTTTGCTCCTGACTCTATCACCACCTGGGAAGTTCAGGCAATAAGTATATCTCCTGAAAAAGGTATGAATATTGGGGGTTTTTTTGTTGTTGTTTTGTGTTTGTATGGATTAATAGAGAATGTGTGTTTTTTAAAAGAGAGATACAATGTTATGTTGACAGAATACAATAGTCTGTACTGAAAAAAAAAGCATAAAGTGTTTTGATCATGATATTTACTTCTCTTTTATGCCCTGTTAAAGCCCAGCTAGACGTTTAGATATAGATTTATGTTTATAAAAGCAACATGAAGTAGAGTCTCAAGGATGATGGATCATACAATGAAAACTGTATTTTATTCTTTCCACTCTATAAAGCCTTGTTTTAGCTTCCACATGGCCAGGAAGATATAAGAAAGGGARCAGTAGTAACACCAACTTTTCTTTGAATAATTCTGGGACCAAGTTCTGGCTATCTCAAAGCATGAAAATCTGTGGCCCCTAAGGCAGAGAAGAGCATCAGGAAACCAGAAAAGGTCCAGCAAGGGCTGGACACCTGAGAACCCAGGTTCCCAGGTGCTGCTCTCTGGGGGCAGGACCTTGCAGGATGGACAAAGGGTCCATCTGGTACAGCCCACTCCCCTTTGGAAGGGGATGGTCATCCAGGGGTGCAGTGTTGGGCATGGAGTTTATTTTCAGAAAGCAGGTGAGTTTAAATGAATTCTGAGTCTGCACGTTTTCCTCTTTGCTCTTGACTGCAGGGGAGCCCAAGCATTGAGGGTTGATCAGATATTTACTTTCTATCAGCTGATGTTAAGTGTGTAATTCTCAGTTCTAGTTGTTWATATTTTTTTCTCATCCCAGGGTTCTGTGTAGCTGACCCTTACACCTTTGCAGTTTTCAAAGATTTTTTTGTGTCCCTGAGATTACCGTACTCAGTCAGACGACATGAGCAACTGGAAATAAAAGCAGTGATTTACAACTACCTGCCTGACGATCTCCAGGTACTGTTATCAGCACCTGCTGTACCTCACATGCCCTGCTGGCTACATCTGATGTAATTAAGTAATAATTTAACAAAAATTACCTTCAGCGTCCCCCTACAGCCCAGACATAATGCTCCCATCCTGAAAACAATCCCAAGGACAGGATCCAGTTCTACTTGCTAATCAAACTTGTAAAAGCAGGTTTTGTTCACCATGTTACACAGCCATATCCTTTGTTTTTGGGTTCGTCTYCTTCCCCTCCACTGAAGCAATCCATTACTTGTTTGCTTCCTGCTGATCTGGGCAATACCCAGCTGCTGCCACTGATTCTTGCTGACACTTCACAATGTACAGAGGAAAATTATGAGCACACCATCCAACATGTTAACCCATAAAACTCATTGTGCATACAGTGCAAAGCTGATTTTTCTCTTCATGTGACTCCTATGAAGTCCTGCAAATGAACACAGTTGTCACTGGGGTTAGGGCCTCCACCATCCTAATGCTGATATTCTTTTTTTCACTTCTTCCCATCTCCCAGCCAGTTTGACGATCTGAACTGCATTGATTCACGTAGAGCTGGGATGTATAAAAATGTGCTATCCTTTTTATTTCACTGTGGTTGAGGGATGGGCCAAAATTCTGTTGTAAATTCAGTGTGATGAAGAAACATTAACTGATTTACAGCCCTAATTAATGCAGGGGAATCTTAACAGGCTGTAAGGTCACGGAACAATTTACATTGGAAGGCACCTCCTGAGGTATTCACCCTGTGCAGTGATGCACTCAGACTGACCTTGGGCATTGCTGGGTCCCACAGGTGACAGTGAAGATGGATGCAGTGAAGGGGCTGTGCACCGCAGAGAMCACGGAGAGGGCTGTGCAGCTCTCACTGCTGGCCAAGGGCAACTCCGCAACACCTGCCTTCTTCTCCGTCGTCCCTCTGACTGTGGGAGAAATTCCAATCACCATTACTGCTTTCAACCAGGATTCTGGGCACAGTGATAGCATTAGGAAGAATCTCAAAGTTGTGGTAGGTGTAATTACTTGAGGACAGGCACTTCACAAATAGGTGCTCGTCCTCAAATGTAATGTTCACAGGCAAACAACAAGGTTGTATGAATTATTTAATACCTTAGCTCTCTTTTGAAATTATAAAGGAGGAGCCTTTTAAAAAAATTACTTTTCAAGTGCCAGTATAGCCTCATTACAGTATCCAAGTCATCCATTGAGAGCTTTTTTTCCATCCACACAAAAAGTATGAAGTATGAATCCTTGCACCCCTGGTGTTGGGGGATAACTGTATAGGATAAGGAGCAGAATGCTGGGAACCTGCTGTTGTTACAGGCCACAGCTTTTGTAGATATAGACACAGTCTCAAATGCTGCACCGAAATATTTAAAGTAACTGTAAAAATAGCTTTATTGAAACTGAAACTGTAGGAAGAGGGATGTGAAGAATCAGAAGGGAAAATGTTTGAGTCTTACACCTAAGATATATTCAGAATTTCATACATGGGAGGTTTACAAACACAAGTCATTCTGTGAACTTGACTTGATGGGTCACAAAGTTGAGAATAAAATTGAAATTTAATTTTTGGGGGTTAGTTCTGGTTAAAGGAATTTCACCCAGGGAAATGTTTCAATAGTAACGCAAAAACTTCAGTAAAGCTTATTAATWTTTCAATTGGGAAACTGAAATTCTGATTTGAAGGTTGAGTTTTACCTAGAGAGAAATCTCCCTTCGACATCACTTGTTTGTGCCACCTAGTGGCCTAATGCTTGGGTGGAGCTGGCAGGTTTTTTGCAGCTTAATTTCAGGTGGGAGTTCTTGCAAAGGTTCTGACTTTTATTTCCTTATTTGTGCAGGCTGAAGGTGTTTTACAGAAAGAAGAAGAGGTCATTTGTATYAACAGTGGCTGTAAGTTGCACAAAAGGGATGGATACACGTGAGGTTTGGGGTAGGAACGAGGGGTGAATGATAGATGAAGTGAAACACTTCTTAATGCACAGACATTCTTCTGGTTAACCAGAGCTTGTCAGAAATCTCTCCCACCAATAAATAGCAAAACACTAATGAAAGAAAAAATTGGATTCTAAATGTTTAGAATTGTTTTATTTTACTTTCATTTTTCAAGGTATCATTCTTTAAATATTAACTTTTCAATTCACTTAACTTTAACTTAACCATTAACTTTAATTCACTATTTAATTAATTTAACTATTTAATTCACTAATGGATCTTAAGAGATATTAAAACCAAGTTTTATTTCAAGTCTGAAATATTCCTAAAGATTGAAAATTAAATCAATTTCATAAAGAAAAAGTATTTTTTAATAAATTTCCACTTAACATTTCTGGTAAAATTTCTGTCATAGTTTCCATCAGCTCTGAAATGCTCAAGGAGAAGTATGTTCTAAAATTACATTGTATGTTGTTTAATTTTTAGAAGTCTGGATGTAGATATCTGTTTATTATTTATTTACAGTAAAGTCCCTTACTGTGGACCTGAACAGACCATCTAACATGGTACCAGATTCTGATAGCCACGTGTTAGTCAGCCTGAAAGGTAAGTGTAATTTTTTTGTCAACATCTTCTCCATAGGTGRCAAGGGACAGGCCCCTCTGTGCTGCTCATTCCTGCATGGCGAATTTCCATTCTCTCCTAGTTTTGATGTTGACTCAAATGGTCTGTGCTACATGAATGGGTCAAAAAACAAAATATCCCCAAGGTTCATCCAGTAGCTTTTCTTCTTTCTAGTTACTCCTTTTTACTTGTAGCAGATGTAATAGCTTTATTTTATCCCCCCCTTCCTCACCATGGTTGGACTAATCTTATGGGAAGGCCAGAGGTGAAGGGAAGAGTCTACCTCCCTTAATAACCTTACATGGCATGTTGGTCTGTAGAAATCTGCTTTAGATTTGAGAAATAAGGATGCCAGACTCTGATTTATAGGTTCTGGAAAGGAGATATGTACAAATTTATATTAATTTAATCAAATGTAGGTGTATAGATTCATGCACATACTCATGCACACATATTATAAAAGCATCTATTAGCAACCTTTTTTCATTAGTGATAATATGGGTGTTTTACCCCCAGAAAATGTAAAATAATGTTTTTGTGACGCAAAGGRTATTGGCTTCCATTTCAAATCCCTCTTCTAAAGTACAGGGATCTTCAAATTCATCAAGTTTTAAAATTGCAGAGAGGAAAAAAACCACACAAAATGTTTGGCATGATTAATGCAATCTTTTTATCCCTCTGTGGGAAGATCAGGGCTGGTTTGACAAGATCCTTCCAGCCCAAACCTGATACACAAGTCTTTCCCCCTTTCCTCGCTTCCCTACCTCCAGTAGCCTCAGGACTCTTTTTCCTTTCTCTTTGTTCACCGTACCTTTCTCCAGCTTTCCCAGGGCCTGGCACCTCATCCTTGCCCTTCTTCAAAGAGTTTTATGAAGTCTTAGGTAGCTAAAAACAGTGTTTAACATTAAAAAGTGAGGAGTATCAGGCCATGCAGTAATGTCAGCCTATATTTAGGATCACCTTTCTTCATATTGGTCCAATCAATAAGACACATACTACAGCTTTGTTTTTACAACAGGGAATGTTATGGACGAGTCTGTTGAAAATTGCCTGAGTCTCAGCGGAGTTGAGAAGCTGATTCAGGTGCCCACAGGCTGTGCAGAGCAAACGATGGTGAAAATGGCCCCTGCAGTCTACGCCATCGAGTACCTGGATGCCAGCGAGCAGTGGGYCAACTTCAACCCCGAACGGAAGCAGGAAGCCATCAGTATGATTGAGAAAGGTATGCAGAAAGAAAAACAAAAAGGAAAAAACCCCAAAACAACCAGAAGCCAAGGGATGGGATCTTTGTTATCCATTTGCACTGCACATTTCCTGAAGGAGTGCCCCGTGTCTTAACACAGCCACACAGAAATCCCCTGGCAGTCTGCAGACAGATGTGAGAGACAGAACTTGTGAGGAGGGCTTAGGAGACTGCCAACATCCCACTCTGGTATTGACATTCACATTCCATCTTCTCTCTTGCCGAATTTAGAAGTAGAAAGTAAAATCTGAGCTGATCAATAAAAACTCTTTTCAGAGTAAATGAATAGCAAAGGGCAGTTGTTCATTCTCWCCCAATTCTCAAAAACGGCCAAGATAAATCACATCCTAAAAATGCTTATTTCTCCCCACAGATCACAGACAGGGGTTAGGATGGCCAGCTGGGATGTAGACATCTCTGTCCATGGCTGCTAGGAGGAGTTTGTCAAAGGGAATTCCCAGTGCTAATCATGGTACAGACACTTTYCTTCCACACTCACATTCACCTTTAGGTAACCTAGAATGACTTCAGCAGCCCCAGGCCAGCCCAGGGAGGGAGATTCCCTAGGAAGAGGACACCTGCTTCTGGAAGGCTCCACTCTGAGACATGATCCAAAGCTGGTATTAAATGTACAGCAAAGCCAGGACCACACAGTGGGAAAATGTTCCAGCTCCCAGGAATTAACATAGGAGCTGCCACTATTGGAGCAGGAAYAGCTGATCTAATTACAGTGTTGTGCTTATGACATAAAGCAATATAATGCACCTGCCTTTGGGATCTTCAGACATGAGATACGAAAACATCAGTGAAAAACAAGTGTATAAATAGAGATAAAAAACATGCTAGCAGCTGCTGTTTGGAGCTTTGCCTGTTTATCCAAGACTGACAAAAGTGACATGAGATCCTGACAATGAGTGTTTGGTATTATATAGCATCATTTGGTATTTGTATATACCAAATACAATACCATAGTATTTGGTATTATTATAGCATCATTTAGTCCCTATTTTATGCTTTTATTGATTTGTATTAAAGTTCATCAGTGTAGAAAATGAGTTGCATGGCGTGATACAAACTTTGTCAARATAATAGCAGTCAAGATCAGAGGCCACAAGTCATGTTTTCTGTTTCTGACCCAGTAGATGATGTTTTTCATACTTTTTGATTCAATGCACCATAAARTCAACAGCTTGAAAAGTTGTCAATAATGGGAAATRATTTCCCAATGTTTACTACACATAAAATGTTTTGCAGCCATAAGCATCTGCAGTTTTCAGGTTATCTTCATGGCTCAATTAAGTCAAACAAGACAGAGGACCTTCTAAGCCCAGTGATTTTTCTGTGTCAGATTCTGCTGACCCAGTCTTTTCCTCCTTAATGCCACAGTGAATGCCCCTGTGAACTCTTCCACCAGTCAATATAGCATGTGTCTCTATAATGTATTAATATGAGCGATGTAGGAAAATGCCCAATAAACATGGGTGTTCTGTGAACAGTTATATGGTCTCCTCTTCATGCAGGTTATACTAGACTGCTTGAGTTTCAGAAGGASGATGGCTCCTATGGAGCATTTAAAACAACCCCCAGCAGTGTATGGTAAGCGATTTTTTTTCCAAAGCGTTTTTATTTTTGTTTATTTGGCTGTGGTTTTTTTCCAAGTCACCTTTATTACCATTTGATAAGTCAAAAGTTTTTCTTTGGCGATGGATTTTGAAAATCTGGTGGACATGGTATTGTCTAGGTACTTTTGCCATGAATAATCAGCCACAAAATTCTCTGACCATGTTCAGTCCTTGGTGAAAAAGATTTATACTGAGTCACTGATTATTTTGCATTTGCCACTGAGTAGAAATACTCATGCTGATGTTGAATAATAACTCACTGGGTTCCAGTAGGTGCCCTGTATTGAATATGAGTCTGTGCTTAAAATTAGCAAGTTTGTTTTCCTGTCAATATAGTCTTCTATAAATATCTGTCAGCACAAGTATGGATTTTTTTTTTCTGTGCAGGTTAACTGCATTCATTGTTAAAGTACTCACAAGGAGCAGAGAATACTTCAGCATCCAAGACAGTCACATAAGCAGCTCGATTTCCTACTTGGTTAATCAACAGCAGSAAGATGGCTCATTCCATGACCACCACCCCGTAATGGACAGGTCCATGCAGGTAGGTCATCTGTATTTAGAAGAATTTGTTGCTCATTTAGGGCTAATAGGGATTGAAAGTAGTGTTGTCAGTTGTTGAGTAACAAGATATGTTTCTAAAGAAAGGAAATCTGTAATGTAAGTACAAAATCTGTAACGTGAAATTAATTTGTAAACAGGTCTGTTATGCCAGAGATGCACAGCTTGCACTTCACCACCTTTATCTTTTTTATCCACTCTTAGATCACTTTTTTAGCTATGCCTCTAAAGCACTTAGAAAATTAATTCTGAATTTCACGTTTGGTAAAAATATAAGCCTTTTATTACTAAAGGCATTAGAGTGTACAATTGTAACCCAGTTTTGAAGGGGCATGCAGAAGCCATCTAGTCYAAATGCTGCTCAGAACAGTTCTAATTATATCAGAACTGTACAGGGCCATGCTCACCTGGGTCTCAAGTACCTCCCAGTCTGTCTGGGTAACTTGTTTCAGTATTTCACCACTCYCATGGCAAAACAAGAAAATGTTAAYCCTTAATCAGAATTTCCAATTGCACCTCATAGTCTACACATCCTCTACAACTGTCCAGAAACACAAAATTGTTATAATGTCCATTAATTTAGACTAGGAAAATAATGTGCATCTTCCAAAACTCATTGAAAATGCAGTGTGGCAACCATTTATGAAAAACATGCATTAATATTATTGATGATAAGTGTCAAATAATTAGGGAGGCTTTCACCCTAAAAGCCAGTTTCACAGCTGATGTAACATTATCGGGGAAAAAGAAACAAATAGTTTAATGATTGGTCAAAGGGTTTTGGTTTTTTCTGACCTGGTTTAAACTGAGATAATCTTCTATTTTAAATATAYTTCAAGAGCTTTCAGGGGAAGAATGCTAATGAGGGCACTGTGTTTACTTTATCAAGAAGAGGGATAAGAAAAGACCTAGTATTGGTGTATGAATACCTTTAGAGAAGAAAAATTCTCTCTGCAAGATAGAGGGCTGTTAAGTGTGTAGGAAGTATTAGAGAAATTAAAAGAAAACCTACCCCACTAATGACTGGAAATTAAAGCCATGCGTATTTCAAAGAAAAATTGCAGAGTTTTAGATGAAACATAAATAACTAAAAATTTGATTATCAGCTGAAGATTATGGTGGGTTCTTGTCTCTTACATTGTTTAATGCAACTGGCTGCCACAGTTGAAGATACACTTTAGATAGGCACATATTATAGAGAAAAATTGAAGACAACAACAGTATGTGGTCAGATGGTTTGCAGAGAAGATCCTTGGCTTTACAGAATGTGATTTTCTAGATTTAGCCACTTAGCCATAAATACACAGATGCACTAATAACTTTTCATGTTTCRTCTTTCAGGGTGGCATTAAGTCAGCAGAAGAGGATTTGGCTATGACAGCATTTGTTACCATAGCACTGCAACAGACCCTACATGTGTACCCATCACCTGCCGTGGTAGGAAGCCTGACTCTTTAAGCCTGAAGGCTAAAATATGCACAATTGCACAATCCACCCTTCTATCTCTCAGAGTACTGTAAATGAGGAGTTTAAAATCTGCTTTTATCTGTGGTTGATAGGAAGAATGGCCTAATGTACAAGGTTTTTTGAGCTACATGCTCCATCATCAATGGCTTTAATCACTAAGCAAATATTATTATAATTGTCTTTAAAATTACTATAGTAACATTTTCTAATTTCCTAGTACTCCTGCTAGCAGTAAGARTTAGTGATCTAACTAACTCAGTGATCTTTACAAACAGATCCACTCTGTTTTCACAGGCACGAGTGATTACAGGAGCAGTGGCTTACATGAAGAATCAATTTTCAAGAAATTCTGACTGCTATTCTACAGTCATCACTGCTTATGCTCTGACACTCGTGCAGTCAGATCAGAAAGAAGCCCAGTTTGTAAAAGACAAATTGAGAGACTGTTCTTCTTTTGATCAAGGTACTGGTAACCATTCTTAAAAATCCCTTTAGAAAGCACTTTTCCTAAYTGAAACACTCTGAGCACTCTTATATGGACAAACCAAATTGAATTAAATAAAGAACAATTMATTTTATATGACTGTGTATGTACATTTGTAATATATTTCATTATTTAAGTTGCATAATTTAATTATTCAATATTTTAAAATTGAATATGTAATTTTAATAATTAATATCACTATAAATTGACAGMATTATGAAGCTTGGATCATGATCTTCTCTGATATTGGTATTGGAACAAAACCACAGTAAATATCATTTATGTTTTCTGCTTCCTTTGGGAAGAAAAAAAAAGTCCAAGCCCAGTGAGAAAGAAGAAACTTTGGATGAGAGAACAGCAGTGTATAGGAATAGTTTAGACTGGATTTTGCCAAGAGGGAAGGTGTCTCTTCCAAAGCCCCCCACCAGTTCTGAGTGCTTTGTCCCAGCTCSCCATGGATGTCACCACTTATCCCCACAGTGTGTGGCTGTGGTGACTCGGAGTTAGTTGATTGTGTGACTGCACCTGTCTATTAATTCCTCCCAGTACGTTTGGTAAATACATTATGGTTTGATAGCCCAGTTTAAGCATAGGGAATACAATTCTCCTCAATCAAAGCTGGATATGTGGCTATAATTGATACCAATTATGTCTGAGGGACCACCAGACCCAATACTACCACTCCATCAGATGGGCATGGCTGTACAATGGGATTATTACACTGTGATGGCTGGAGACACCAAAATTGAAAATTGTGGGTTTCCTTATCCATTATCTTTGCTTCCCAACTGACTTGTTGCTCTCACGACAGCATCTGTGTCCTGTGCTTCTGCAACTCTATGACGTGAAATATCCACTGTGTAGAAAAATAACCATTTTTGGCAAATGTCTCCACCAAGGGATTCAAGACTAAATGTTTCTTGCAGCAAAGCAGCAGCGCTACTGGGGAAAYGGCAACAACGCAGTGTCGGTGGAAACCACTGCCTATGCCCTGCTTCACACTTTGCTCCTGGAAGACACGGAATATGCAAGGCCCATTGTGACGTGGCTGACACAAAAGAGGAGCTACGGCGGAGGGTACTGCTCTACACAGGTGCCTGACCACCAGCTCAGCGGGAGTCTTGAGGGGAGRGAAGGAAATAAAAGCCCTATAAAGACTTTTCCACTGAGATTTGAAAGCATCATGACAGTTAATTTTCAATTTCTTCGATGTATGAAGCACTAAAGATTTTGGGTCGTTAATTAGCAGGGGGCCAAAATAAAATGGTTAAAAGCCAGCAAAGAAGATTCTTTGTCTTCAGGAGGATGTATGATAATCTAAGGTCAGAACTCTGGTGRGTTTATGATTTTAGTGCTATCAGAAGAAGCTGGGAAATTAAATGAATGATCTGTGCAAGTAGGAATAGACAAATACAAGAGAACTTCAAAGCAGCAAAAAGCATAAAACTGAATTCAAGATGACTGATAATGTCATCTTACATGTTGTTGAAATAATCTGGCATAACTGCTGGTTTGTTGCTTTTTTTTTTTTTTTTTTTACCTAGGACACAGTGGTGGCCTTGGAAGCTCTGTCAGCATATAGCATAGAGACACTGAACTCTGCTTCCATGAACCTGACTGTCAATCTGGGAACACCTGGAAGGCAAAAGTCCTACAGCATTGTTCTGACCGACACCCATGAAGAATTTCAGAAGCAAYTAGAGGTACACAATCATTGGTTGTTTCGAAGTTTTTTTTTTCCCTCAAAGATAATTTGAATCATCTGGCTAGGTTGTCTCATGTTAAGCAACCATGATGTAGCTGGTTTATAATACCTTACAATAATTTAACCTGTAAAGCAAGAGAACCTTTCTGAAGTAAAAAAAAAAAAAAAAAAAAAAAAAAACAAAAAAAAAAAAAAAAAAAAAAAAACAAAAAAAAAAAAAAAAAAAAAAAAAAAAAAAAAAAAAAAAAACAAAAACAAAAAAACTACCAAAAAAAAACCTACCAAAAAAAAACCTCAAAAAAAACCAAACCAAAACAAAAAAGCAGGTGCTTAGCAGCATAGTTGAGAGGTGCTTTCCTGCTTGTTTGAGGACTTTGGTGGTATGAATCTCTCCCAACAGTGAAGAGAAGTTGGGAACCCAAGTCTTTCTAGGGAATGAGAAAGAAGGAATATTCTGATCTTCAATGTGCTGAATACTGAAAATGTGAAATTCAGGATAAAAAGGAGAGTGAGGTTGGCAAAATATGTCTACTGCGCCCTAAAAGAGCAGAGTAAGGTTCACCATCTCATCACATTTAAAATATTTTGAAACTTGACGTCTCATAATTCCTTCTATAGCTAATAGTTTTCCCTAACCCARTTTGGAAGGATAAAGGCATAAATGTCTGTCGAGGTAACAGGAGAACAATAGATCAAATTCTGAGCACAGACTAAATACCTTTCTTTTCCCYCTTGGTTTGCAGTTTGAACTTGGGAGAAAACTTGAAGTATCCGTACACGGCAAAGGAAATGGGACAATGAATGTAAGCTGTGAATTCAAAATCCAGAGTTGAACTGGACTTCTTTTAATCCCTTTTTGGAAACTAAGTGAAAAATTACTTAGCCTCATGGCCAAGTAACATGGCCTCATTACATGGCCTCAACCTTTGTGATCTTATCTCCAAAACTCTAAAATTTGTAGCCTAAAGCCTGCTCTTATAGACAGTTAATTTTTCCTGTCTTTAACTATTAAATCCATGAAGTGTCAGTGCTGACAGAGGCAGCAGGAGTAAGAGGTCAGGGACCTGCATRCACCCGTGACAGTCCTTGGTGGCCAGTCTGTGCCACTGGTCTTTCCCTCCATGCTCCCATGTCCCATCACCACATGTAGAAGTCCTGGATGCATAAATCCTATGACTTTTAAATGATATTTTTAGCAGCTTGCTGTTTGTGTGTTCATCTTAGATATTAAAAATGTACTGGTCACCTGAGCTGAAGAACAACACCTGYAATGATTTGGTTTTGACAGTGGAAGTGGAAGGGAGACTTAAGTACTCYGGTGAGTGAAAAGGGCAGGGTTTGGTTCTCAAAAGCGACATGTTTGGCCAGTTGCTAATGCTACTTCACAGCTTTCCAGCCTTGGAAAGTGGGAAAAAAATTAATGAAACAAGGCAAGAGAGAAGTTTCTGAACTCTGCCTTCCTATTGTTTCATTTATCTTATTATTCTTACTTTTAAATAGTATAACAACAATCTGAGTGACTGCAGGTACAGCAGGTACTTAGCAGTCACACAGGTACAATTGGAAACTCTTTTTGAGAAACAGGAGGTGAATTCCCCACACAGAGGAGAAAGCCCACCTCAGTTCCCTGGCTAATAAGGGACCTGCCATGTGGGCTTAAAACTCTTTGAGGCACATCTGTCACAGGTCTTTCATATGAGCTGGAATGTCTTTGCCATCTCCTGAAGTGTCCGTTCATCATCATCTCTGCCTATGTTGGCTATTTTTTTTTCCTCTTTTAATCATTACCTTTTGGAGGGATGGATTGTCCTTTACCTATTTGTGGATAGCCTAAACCCCATTCTCAGCTAGATTTGTTAATTATTCTTACCATAGCTATCTCTAAAATTCTAACTCTGAATTAATTGGAAACACTGAGGCAGCATACACTGAACTGTTATAAAACTCAGAGTGATGGCAGGACTGCCCACTGATATTTATCATTATACCAAAAGAAGCTAAATTACAGGCAAATTGTGCATGGCTGACCATGTCTCTCACCTCCAGAAGCTGAATACTCTGGTGAAGATGATGATTATGAGGACTCAACTAGCACAGGAAACAGCAAGTTTGAGACACTGTCTCAAATGGATTGGTTTGATATCCGCAGCAGAAGAAAAAGGGATGTGGCCACTCCCAGCAAAACTGAATCCTTGCAATACAAAGTCTGTGTCAGGTAGGTCTGCAARATCAGCTCTTCTTTTGATTTAATTCTCCTTGGTCACTCTCTTCATAATCACAAGCTCAGCATCCAACCTAGTGATCTCCTGGGAGGCTGCATACACTAAGTCTGTGTCCTGTCTCCCATGGCAGGAGAAAAGGTTTCCACACAATGTATGGGACTTATTACATGGCTTACATAGACTTCAAATGCTCACTTCAGATTCTGCCCCATCAGGCTCTGGGGAGACACCAAAGCACCTGGCAGGCTAAACATTTGAAAGAAATCTTTSACTGAAAAAGGTAAACACATCTGGAATGTTGTAGGACATATTCCCAGAGTTTCATCACTTTCTGGAGAGATGCTCTTTCTTCCTTTGTGGTCACACCTCTGGCCTCATGAAAAAAGAAAGGACGACTGCTACTATCTGRCAGAGGAGGCAGATGGGGTATTGTGTTGTGACAAGAAGTTGGCAAGGGYGGAGGTGGTAAAAAAGAAATCCCCTCATGCAACCTAGCACTGAAATACCTGCCTTTGCTCCCATTTACAGTCTGGCATTGGTCTCAGAAACACTAAATTGTGGCTATCTGGGTTCCTCTTCCAGAGAGGAGCAGGATGGCAGAAGCAGGTTTTGTTCCCCAGTAGAATTTTGGTTGTCCACTGACTTTGGCAAAGCACTGAAGACAGTGGGTTTATTTCCCCTCCCAGACAGCAGCATGAGTAACATCAGGGGAGGACTGAATTTGTCCCAATTTCCAAGTTTCACTCTCCCTCATTAAACATATATTCAGTGAATGGCGTATTGGCCAAAGCATCACTTTCCCCACTAATTGCAACAGCTACCAGCTCCTGTTCTGCAGCACTGCTCTGCTGGTGTTAGACAGAGGCTTAGGCAATAATGTGGAACTCCTTGGAGTTAGGACGTGGGAAAAAAACTGAAGKCATGAATTACATCACCATTCTTCTTCCCTACACTGAGGTGCATCCCTTAAGGGAGAGTGCCAAAATGAAAATTGGTTAAGTACCTGTAAGTGTATGTAAAATATCTCATGTCAAGGCACCCCCTGTGTGARTGCAGAACAATTTCATTTTCCAGCAATGACACAACTACCTGATTTTTGAGAAGGTGAAAGCAGAAAGATTGGAAATCCAATACATATATTTAGTGGATAGTTACAGCAACTATTATTTTTGCCTCTGACAGCAAAGATGATGTAAATTTGACTTAGTCCATGAAAAAAAATTGGGTAAATTCATTTTCTATCTCCACTTTGTGGGTAATACAGAATGCAGGTAATACTGACTTTGTCAATGCTGTTTACTTCTCTGTCTTCAGCAATGCTTTTAAGGTGGGATAAACTGCCATTTACATGTGATTTTTTTATGCTTAACAGCTCCAAGGAAAGMCTGTATGAAAAGCTCAGGCAAGACACCTGGGTTTTGTATGACCATTTGACTAGTTCAGATGACTAATTTTACCTCATGATTCTTAATCAATTAGRCAGCTAATTTTAAAATTAAAATCCACTTAGGAAAGTTAAATGGAGCAGAATCACCTTTAGCAAACCTGAAGAGCCAAACTCCTCAAATCAACTGGCTGTTCAGTGCAGGTGCTCACTGCTGCCCTTCTCCCTTACAAAGGTCCACAGGTTCCAAAGCACCAAAGATGTCCCTGGTTGATCTCACCCTGCTGAGTGGGTTGGAGCCTGACACAAAGGAACTCGAACAGGTTAGAAACACACTTTTCTGTGCAACCTTTTAGAGAGCCTTTAGAAAATTTGTCTTTCCAAATCTTTGCAAAAATACATAAAATAAACATACGAAAACAGATTTGGGATAGATAGACTTCCATTCTTCTCATTCTGATAAAAATACTTGCTGAATATACACAAGAAATGCAAAACTTGTAGTAAAGAGAGTTCAATCTTCTTAGTCCCTTGTAATAGAAATTAGGGCAAAGCTCAGAAGGGCACAGATGTGCCTCTCCTTACCACATATCACTGTCCTGTGTCACACCAGGACAGTGCATCATCCTGTGCTTGCAGAGCAGAAGGCAAGTAGTCTTTTAGAGGTGGTTGGTAGCAGGGCACAGTGACAGGAGATGCGGCAAAGCCCTCTGAAAATGTAGCCAAGAAGTTTTGGGTTGTGGAGCCTGCACAGTTAGGGGAGGCTTGTTCAGTTTCGTGCTCTCAGGGAGTGTCTCCTTTAGGGAGGAAGAAAGAGAGCAGAATGAAGCAAGCAGCTGAAGAAAGAAAACCAGAATATGGAGGGTGGTAGCAAAGGTATTCCTGTTCTTCCAGGGGGCTGTTCTGATTTGTTTGTTTCTTTGTTTTCCTGCAGCTGGTGATGGCTTCAGACCAGTACATTCAGCACTATGAGTACAAGGAAGGGAGGGTTTTGCTCTACTTTGGTGAGGTAAGCAAGCCCAGTGATTTCCTAATCCCTGCCACTTCATACAGCATATAGACTTTTAAAAAAATCTAGTAATTGTATTTTTCATTTTCTATCATCTTTCTGTAGTTTTTGTCATTTATTTATTATTGAACTACTCAGTGGAAAGAACTGAGGAAGGGAAGAAGGGAAACACACACCTTCATATTCCACTTTCCTATGTCCCAAGAGATGTAGTTCATATTCAAGATTTGGACTTTGGCCCAAGAAAAAAAGAGAAATCCTCTCCCTCTGTTGCCAGAAGAGATGCTGTTCATATATGATAACAAAAGTGTTACCTGGTGCTCCTGTAAATTCCATGTAGACATCTTCCATGTCAARATGAAGACCTATAAAGTGACAAATGAATGCAAACCTCAGGACCCCTAGTTTCTGTGTATATTTCCCAATATTTTGGATAATGACTCCACCTTACACCCACTTGAGTTGCTTCACCTCCACAGCTGAAGCAGATATTGGTATTAACTCAGCTATATCATCACAAACAAGTGTTCAACAACTAGCACAGGCACCAACATTAAGGAGTTGACTGAGGAGACTTTGTTTTCTTACCGGAACTGTTGTTCCTTTTTCCTCCAGCTCCCGAGTGGACCAGACCCAGATTGTATATCATTTGGGGCAAAGCAAATCAATCCCATGGGCTTGGTTCAGCCAGCAAATGCCATCCTTTATGATTTTTACAACCCTGGTAAGGATACAGAAAAATTATGCATAACTGCTTGAAAGAGAGACCCTAAAAAAAAACCCTCCAGTCTGTAGAAAGTTGATTTTGATGTAGTGTGTGAAACTACTTAATTTTCTCAAGTGACAAAATAACCTGCTTTACATACTGTCTTCCAGTTACTTCCAATTATTTAATTAGAGATCTTCTCAGGAATGGTCCAGTGTTGCAAATGGACTGAAAAAATGAACTTTTACACTCATGGATTTTTAAATCAGATTTCCTGATTTCCTGTTTCTCACAGGCATATGCTTTCAAACATGTTGCAGTCACATTTAGGTTTATGAGGCTGTCTTTTTATACATCTAAGATGGGCAATCTTAAAGGTTTGACTTATGTATTGTGGTTGCTGGGGAAACCAGTCTTGCTCCCCAGTCAAAGAAGGTTAAATGCAAATCATCCCCATTTGCCAAAGTTATGTAGACAATGTTTGAAAATTAGGTCAAACCTCTACTTTGCCTTAACTAAGGGACCCAATACAGCCTGTACTGGGTTTAAACCCCTAAATATTGGTGATCCTCTCTTCTTCTGAAACAGTGCAATGTTCACTGTTGCTCTACGGTCTAAAGATGCTTTTAAGGTAGGTGCTTTCCAGAGAGAGCAAAACAAAAGGGGATGTGGGGAGGGAAGAGTACAACTTAAAAAAAAAATCAAAATTAATGAAAACCCACAACAAAAGCAACAACAAAATGCCCAAACAAAAATTATCCAAACTGAACAAAAATAACTCCAAACCGTAGCCCAGCTGTACTTTGGGTGCCTAAGCCACAGGCCTTTGTGAACTGCTGATGTACAGCTGATCCCTCAGTGCTCTGTTTTCTCTGGAGCAGGGAAAGCTGGGCTGCAGATGTAGTTTGTACTGTACAGGATTTCCCACCTGATCTCCCCAAGACAAGCTGTGTTGTTCCTTGTCCACAGAAAGGAAGTGCAGTGTGTTCTACAGCGCTCCCAAGCACAGTGCCATGCTGTCAAAGCTCTGCCA